TATTTCTGATATTCATATTATACTTCAATAACTAACTGAGTCAATTACTTATGAGTATCAATTACATCAACTAGTATCACATAAACTAATCAATTAATAAACTTTCACTTAAATCTATAAATGTCACAAATATAATCAAGTAATTGAAATTCAAATTTCTGATTGTTACCATTATGATTTATTATTATTATTATTACCATCAAATGTACCCAGCTTCACTCAGGTTATAAGGTAGATATATTTGAGATGACTATATCAGTGTGTGTATCCTGAAAATATTTGAGCATAGAACAGTCAAAAATATTATAAACATTTTTATTTCCCAGAAACATAAAAAAGTCATAAAGAAAGTACAGTAAATTAAGAACTATTTATTGTATTTCACATTACAAATTTCTATCATATCTTATCAGAATATATAAAATTTTTTATTGTTCGATTAATTAATTATGATTTTAGTGATGAGGGGGTGCAAGGGGACCATGAAGGTGGTTGCTGTGAAACCTTGTTAGTGTAGTGAATATTGATATGAATTAACGAAATTAATAAACAAGTCTAAAGTAAAGACACAGTGTGAGATAACCAAGCCTAGGGTCAAGTGCATAAAGTTTATCTTGAAAGTAAAAATATCAATACAATTTTAAACTTACACAATAAAAACGAATAATAAATAAACAGACCTGTTTAATCAATGGAGACTCTGAATTAAGAAATGAACAATTTTTTTTTCAATTTTCTAGTTTAAACATTTCATTTTATACTTTTAATGCATAGACTAACAACAATATTAAATTAAACTTTTGTTGCTAAACAACATGACAAAAGCCAGTGTAGAAATGCATTGCTACCAAAATGCACTGGCTTTTCTGTATATTAGAAGTTGTTATATAAGGAACCACTTCTTTTCTATGTAGTTTTTCGATAGCTTGCCTCATTAAAAAGATGTTCATGCACGTGTCTGTCTGTGATTTCTATTTTCAATATAAGGAAACACTTCTTTTCTATGTGGTTTTTCACTAGCTTGCCTCATTAAAAAGATGGGCACACTCATGTGCACATACACGTGGATAAGTAATAATACCCAGGTGCACACCCTCAGGATCCACTTAACATGGGTTTAAAATTTCAGGTTTCTAGGTTCTTTCCTCTTGCAGCTATCGCAGTTACACTTCTTTTCCATGTGGTTTTTCACTAGCTTTCCTCGTAAAAAGATACGCATGTACGTGGATAAGTTATAATCCACAGTTGCATGCCCTCTGGGTGCAAAATTTCAGGTTTCTAGGTTCTTTCCTCTTGGAGATATGTCAGTCACACAGACACTCCCTTATATTATTATAGATTTCTGATTAACTTGAGGTTTCTTCGACTAATTGATAAGTGTCATAACTCACAAAAAATAATCAACTCAATAAAATCAGTGTTTTTGTTTATAATTTGGTGACACGTTTTTGGACTCATTCTAGTTAACTATTACACAGAAATATCCAGTTGCATCAGACTATGCAATCTCAATTTTGTTGCCGTTTTCAGTAACCTACCTGTGTATTGACCTTCTAGCCATGCCTGGTTAACATTACACAAGTTGCAATGACACACCTCATATGCACTCTTGCTACCATATCCAAGAACATAAAACTGGCCTTTACAAAGTGGCCTGTCTTGGCTGTGTTTTAGTGGACCAGTATTTTGTAAAATACAGTCACATTTCAGTTATAATACATATGTATATACATTATTACTATTTACAAGTAAATTTAAACTTATTTTTCTTAAAATATAGAACAGTAAATAAAGAAGTATAGCAAACAATTATCTCTTCTAGTTATGAACTTTGTAATCGTTTGCTGCTTGCTGTTGGTTGCTAAAAGCCTTATCAAATTTCACACGTGGAGAATGTCAAATGAAACAACTTTTGTAGGTTTTATATATACATTTCAAATAACCCAAAATTATAAATTACTATATCAATACCATATGGCTTTTGACCCGTGAGGATAGGGTTAAGTGTTGGAAGAAGGGGTTTGTGTGTTATACATTTTTATCAAAGTATGTGCACTTTTGGCTGGAAAAGGTTGGGAAACAGTGCCATATAAGATAACTCTTCCATCCTCAGAATCATCATATTAGCACTCCTCTGAATCTTTTCACTAAGTCAATATCTTTTTTTAGGGTAAACAAATTGTTAGGATGGGAGTAGGGCCTTTGAGGGATGATAAAGGAAGGTTAATATCTGATGGCTGGGTTATTAAATTATATTTTTTCTTCAGTTTTTACAAAGGATGATTTAAACAGTATTTTTCACACTGAAGTTGTTAGATGGAAACAAGATTCAACAAGATGATTGCATTAATTCATAACTTCTTAAGAACAAATTGAGAGCTCTAACAAATCTCCTTGGCTAGATAATATCTATAGCTGGATGGAGGTAAGTGGAGGGTTGCTATAAATGGAGTTCAGTCAAACTGGATTTATACCATAAGTGTGGTACCTCAGGATTCGGTGTTAGGGCCTTTGCTCTTCTTGATTTACATCATTGACAAAGATGAAGGAATGGTCAATAGATTATTTAAATTTGCTAATGATATTAAAGCTATGAGGAGGATGCTACTCCTTTACAAAAGAATTTGAATTATTTGGTGAGATAGCAAATAAATAGCAGATGGCTTTTAATTATAATAAATGCAAAGTAATGGATGTTGGATATCACAATTTGAATTATGAGTACACTTTTGATGGGAATAATCTTAACAGTGTTATGGAAGAAAAAAATTATGGTGGCCTAGTTAATCAGTCTCTTAAGCCATCCATACAGTGTGCTGTTGCTAGTGGTGGAGCAAGAAGGATTTTTGGTTGTATCTAGAGAAATACTGAATACAAGTCTAAAGAGGTTATAATGCCATCAGTTAGGTCACATTTAGAGTAGTGAGTCTTGGGCTTCTTACACTAGAAAGGATACAGAATTCTTGGAAAGGGTTCAGAGGAAGGATACTAGGATCATACCAGGAACAGAAATTCTATCATATAAATATATATACATATCAGAATAGGTAAAAATCTATTAACATGTTTTCTCTTGAAAAAAGAAGAGTTAGAGAGGATATGATTGAGGTATTTAAGATTGTTAAGCAAACTGATAGTGTTCATGTGAAAATGGCAAGACTAAGGAGACACAACTATAAATTTTGGCAGGTTAGGAGTCATCCTCAGCTAAGAAGTTTTATTTTTCTAACAGAGAGGTTGGTTTTTGAAATGAGATGCCTTCAGATATGAAAGATACAGTTAATTTATTGAAGTTTAAGGGCTAGCTTAATAAATATTTGAATGATAAGAGCTGGCTTTAAGTGTTTTACCTTTATCTTAGAATTTTATATAGTGGATGGGATGGCTTAGATGGACCAACAGGTCCCTTGTTGTCCTTAAATATAAGTACGTACAATAACTGTAAACAAACAGTTATTCAAGATAAGTTAACCCTAAAATTCTATTGGCAATAGAGAACTGCCTTGATAGTTTGTAATTTATAAGCAATACCTGAACACACTCAATGCACCAAAAGTTCAATTAAAGTATTTGGGACGAGAATGTGAGCTTTGATCTTCAAAAAGCCATTAACTAAGAAACTCGTATTGTTAGAGATTTGGAGGAGGCTAATTAATTATACTGTGGGATGAATGTATGGTAGAAAACAAAAGGGTGTTAACGTTATTAATGGTGTACTTCAAAGATCAATGCTTGGGCCTTTGATGGCTCTTATTTACAAAATATTAAATAATTAATTTAGGTACAAATGTAATTTTTGTTGAAAATATTAAATTGTTAAACATAACCAATTAACAATCACAATTTTGTTAAACATTTTTTAAGCTGATTCTATTAGTACTAGTCTAGCATTCCACAACTCTAAACTGTTTATTAATATGATTTAAATGACCATTTACTTTAGTAACTGTGGGATTTATGTTGTAATACTAATAACATGGTAAGAGTATACTATTACTAATATCCCAATCAAATTCAAAGCTAGTGTTATTTTGCAGGCTTAAGATAGCACTGACCCTTTAAACTGGGCAAATCTACATGCCAAGGAAACACTGTTAAAGTTGAATACAAAACAAAAGTGTGATGTCATAATCTCTGAAAGTACACTTTCAGTTATACATGCCATATGCATATTTATTGTGGCAGGGATAAAGAGATACATAAATTGTTTTAACACCATAACTTTACTTAGGAATGATAAAAATGTGAAAATTGATACACATTCTCTTTGTTAACATCCTCATAGCTTGAAGTTGAATTACACACATGGAAAATTTTCTACAACATTAATGAACTATGGGCAATAAATTTTAATTAATGCCTTTGTTAGTGGTAATTAGAATCATAAGACAATTGGTAAAGATTTTTGAATTTAGAAAATATTCAAGCTATGGAAGAGTGTAAAAACAACAAGCCTGCTAAATTTCATGCTGATATTGGCTTTAATGGTGAAGTTATTATGCTAACAAGATGGAGTGACAAGTTAGCTCATTCGCATTACATAAAATTTGCAAAGTTTTTAATTCAAGATACAAGGATGTTCACAATGAGTATGTGTATCAATTTTATCATGTTTTTGTCATTCCTCAGTAAAGCTATGGTGTTAAAACAGTTTATGTCATGCATTTCTTTATCCTTGCTATATTAATTATGCATATGACATATATGACTGAAAGTGCACTCTCAGAGATTGTGACATCATACCTCTGTTTTGTGCTCAACTTGAAGGTTTTAAGAAGTGTTTAACAGTGTTTCCTGACCGTGTAAACTTGCCCAGTTTTAAAAGAGTCAGTGCTACCTTAAATTAATAATTTCCAAAATGTTTCTTAGCTTAACTTGTAGTAGGGCTAATAGTAATATACTTATCATTAATATAATAATAATATCAGCTCAACTCTAATTGACCTATGGTATCACTGACTAAGCTGGTGACTTTTTAAATAAAATATTGTAAAACCAACCTGCATCGACGCCATGATTTGATAGTCGGTAACTTGCAGTTTCTACTTGTTGTAGCTAGTAGTAGTACTTGGTACTAGTCGTACTGCTACTATGAAGTATTAGTAATAATAGTCTGCTTAGTTTTTTTTTGTCAAGCCACAGCGTGCTTTAATTTTAAAAGTTTAAAAGTTCACTGCACGTATGTGAGCTAAAATTTAAATATTGCAACCAAAATAAAATTAAAAATTACACTACAGTAAAATAAAAACACGGTTTTTGAATATATTTGTTTCCCGAAAAAAAATATTACACTACAGTACGCGAGTCGTTCTTCTGTATCGTTTGTATCAACGGTAACCGGTTATTAGAACGATAACACTAATACTAGTAATTCTAACAGCAAAATACTAAACACATGAAACCATGCTCCTAAACCACACTCTGAAGAAGTCGATTATACATCGTTTAAAACCCGAGTTTTTAAAACTGCCAAGGATTTGGACTGGATTTGTCACCATTATAATATGAAAAACTGTAGCAGTATGATCATATCGTCACTAACTACAGTAGATTCATGAGTGGACACTAGGCGGCAGCATCAAACCTGTAAATTTCCACATTCAATAATGTTCTGAAATCTAAAGGACTGCCTCAGACTGTATTACGCCACAAGTAAGAATATTACAAGTAAAATACAATAACATAATAAGAGCCCCCCCCCCCAGTGGCACAGCGGAATGTCTGCGAACTTACAACGCTAAAAACCGGGTTTCGATACCTGTGGTAGGCAGAGCACATATAGCCCATCGTGTAGCTTTGTGCTTAATTCCAAAGAAGCAAACCTAATAAGAAAAAGTGAACATGGTAAAAATTAGTGTTTTATAACAACATAATAAGAAGCTTTTTAAGCTACAAACAAAAACGATGCGACAGCTCCCCCTACCTCAGTAGTATCACCATGTTTGATTAAAAATTCTGAACTGTCCCATATCTTTGAAATATTAGGTAAGAAAAATTTCTATTTCTGCAGTTTCGTGGATTTTTTTGCGTTAGTAATTATCCAGTTTTCTTATTTCAATAATTTCTTGTTTACAATAGAATACTGATTACAATTATATATATTTTAACTTGCATATTTATCTATATGAACGGTAGGCTAATATCAATTTTGACGTACATTGTAGACTCACATGTTAAGGTAAAATTTTAAAAAAGTGCACACAAAAACATGTTTATCTGTTCGCCCTGGCCTATTGATTACACACTGCTAAATAGAAGACTTTCTTGGCCCTGCTTGCTTTTCTTCTAGTACTAAGTTGACCGTATTCTGGATCATTTGTTAGTTGAAGTGAAAACAAAACAAAAAACAAGATGTCTTTCACTAGCTAAAAAATTGAATTCGAGGATTTTGATGGAGTAAAACATTTTTCCAATTCGCAATATGCGATTATATTGCAAAAACGAAAAAAAATATTGCATTTTCGCAAAGCGCAGGTATATCACTTGATAATTATGTTAAGACAGTGGAAGTCAGATGACGCTAGTAACACGTCATGAGATTCTCGAAGGATCGTGACTTTTCCTGGCAACTCTCGTCTTTTTCCAGGCGCCCTCTATTTTAATATATAAGCCCGGCGAATAATTGAAGATAGAGATAATCGAGTCAAGCGAGTAGTAGGCACCGTAAGTAAAGGTGGTGAATCGCTGTGAATTATAGCGTGTATTTATAAAAGTTGTTAAGTTTAAAGTGACTGTGGAAATTAAGTGTATTACAAAGTTTGTAACAAGAAAGAATAAACTGGTTTTATTTAAGAAAGAACTCGTATCGCTGAAGTTTCTCGGAAATAATTTCTACGGGAAATTAACAAACAAGCATATGCGTAACAATTAGAATGTCATTGTCAGGAATCAAGTCAAACAACATAAGTTTAAAGAGGGTTTGTTTCTGCTTTATATTCTTCTGAAATTCATATTTGCATTGTGAGAAGACCATTGTACGTCTGCAGAATAAAGTTTCTCACACGCTACAGAGTACGCAAAATTATATTTTGAACTGGTTTAGAAATGTTTTGTAATAATCATCTTACTGTGCGGCTGAGTTATCTGAACAGCATTATCTATATAGCTACTGCTGAATATAGACGAAGACGACCAAGATTTATCTCTTATCATCTACTATGAGGCAAGTGCAATATTGCAGATAAAAGTAACAAAACTTAAACCTATTGTTGCGTCAGCGAGGTCACGTGACTAGTGTCACGCCACTTCTTTCGAACCTTCGGGAATAGTCGGGAGATTACTAGATATAGGGTAGTCTGATATATATATAAGAGGGTGACAACGTGACGCAATAGTGTATGTGTGTAGGTAGTGAGTAATTGAACCGCAGTCAGAAGTTGACTGCAGTTGACGTTCGTTGATATAGTGTTTGTTATAGAGCGACTATTGAAAATAAGTGTACCGGTAAAGTTATATTC